AACCATACGAGAAGGGTCCTCCACCCCAGAGTACTCAAACCCAAAATTCTCTCGCTCCTTCAGAGGTTGAACATGGTGGCGAAGAAAACTAGAAATAATCCCAAAGCCGGTCAAGCCTTGCTGTTTCAGAGTACATATCCTCTCAAGAAATGGCTTGATCGCCTGGAGCTCAGCCGTCATCAGAGAATTCTTTTCCCACCAGTCATTAACCACGGGACCAGATCTAGAATGAACAGCAAGAGGAGGAATCATATTGGTGGCATAAAACCAGTCGGCATGCCAATCCCTCATAGAATCAACCAAGTCATAGTCAAAAAATTTATTCTTAAGACCTTGGCGAAACTGAATCCCGCAGCCACCAAGAACATGGGTGTCATAGCGGCGGGGATGAGGCTTCAGATGGAAGAAGTAACGAAAGAGAGAAAGAGATGGAGGAATTCCAAGAAAAGTTTCACAAAGATGAACAAAAACAAAAAGATAGAGGACAGCATTGGGAGCAAGATGGTTCAAGCTAATCCCAAAATAACCAAGGAATCGATGAAGAAAAGCAGAAGCAGGAAGATAGAGTCCAACACGGATAAAGAAGACAAAAAGAACAACCTCACCAGGACCTAGAGTTGGAACCCGATGCTCGCCCGGAGCTTTCTAATCAGCAATGTCCTTGCTCTAGATCAGACCATCACTAACAAGCTCGCGCAACTGATCTTCAGTCGTAGTCGGAGCCGGCCAGATCTTCTAAGCAGCCCTCAAGGCCATGAATTCTTGATTCTCAATCATAGAAAGTGATGCCTGCTCGTCTACAAAGGCTGCCTAGGACTTGCTCGCTAATTTCTTCCTACCCATATACTAGCGAAAGCAAAAAAGAACTAAGAAACAATGATGATTCAGACGACGGCGCTCAGATGACGGCGACAACGGCGGCGGCGGAATTTTGAAGACTAAGGTTTCAAGGGAAAAGCAGGGCAGTAAAGAAAAAGAAGAAGAAATGCCTTTAAATAGATTTTACAGCAGTAAAACGCGGCCCACCGGGCCCGTTTAAACACGGCACGAGAACGCAACGGTCTATTTACTGACACAGCTAAAACTACGGACGGCACAAATCCACAAAACAGTACAGTTCAACGAGTAAATTTCGGACTTATCCATCCAGCAACATGGCAGAGTTATCATATTGCTACAAAAAGAACTCATCAGCCATAAAGCAACGAAAGGTTACCTCACAAGGAACGCAACAACCCGGTCCTTATAGAAAGAACTCGGAATCTCATAAACAACCGGGAGCACCAACGGAACAAACCTAACAAAGGACACAGTGAAAAGACAGAATTCAATGAAAGAAGACTCAGGCATGAAGGAGCAGTACTCAAGAACGAGCATATTCGGAAGAATATACCAACACTGTACAACTCGTGAATAAACAACATTTACTCTCAACCACCACCATACAACTATATCTGACAACAGCAGACTATCAGAGAACATGCCAAGATCCTGTATCCGAGTTCTTTTCGAATAAAAGAACCCAGGTATATGCTCGGGGGCTGCAATAGGAAAGACTTTCAGTCCTTTGAACAACTCAGATTCAAGATAGGGCTGCAACAGAAGAGGTTTTTAGTTCCTTGAACAACTCAGAATCAAGACCCTCCAACTCTTTGTTCTAAATAGCAAGAGGCTCGGGGGGCTACACTCAGTGAGTGCACTTTTTTCTTCAAAAAAGTAAATATCACTCAGAAGACTTCTTCAAGACAGCAGTTTTCAAACAACATAAGATTCAAGACCCTCTAACTTTTTGTTCCAAATAGCAAGAGGCTCGGGGGCTACACTCAGTGAGTGCACTTTTTCCTAAAAAAAAGTGCACGTCACCAAAAAGACTTCTTCAAGACAGACCACTTCAAGGCCTCACGACAAAAATAACTCGGACCTAACTATATCCGAGCTCTTTTTGATAAAGAACCCGGATATATGCTTAGGAGCTCTTCGACGAAGAATCAGAGCAATTTCAAGAGAAGACCCTCTAGCTCCTTGTGCCAAATAGTAAGAGGCTCGGAGGCTACACCTAAATGGGAGTACTTTTTTCTTCAAAAAGGTACACACCACGTGAAGATCTCACGAAGCGCTACACGGTTTCGCTCAAGAAAGCACTCGGACGATGCTTGTTCCTGCTCGGCAAGACCTAAAGGAACAAGACGAGGCTTCCAAAGCTCAACCATGAAGTGCTCGGGGGCTTGTCGGTGCGAGACCCACGGGATACCCCGCAAGGAAGGTAGAAGATCTAGTCTAACTAGGATTCTTCCCATGTAATCTTAATAGTAGTATTATTCTGTAATCCTACTAGAAACTCTCATTGTAAACCGACTAGGATTCTGGCCTCCTGAATATATAATGGAGGCAGGGTTCCTAGAGAGGAGACTTGACGACACAATACTTCACAATCAATCCAACGCAAAGGCTGACGCCGACTGGACGTAGGGCTATTACTCGATCAACGATCGAGGGTCCGAATCAGGATAAATCGACTGTCTCTTGCGTTTATCGTCGAGTTCCGCATACGTTGAAGCCCGAACAAACTGCCCTAGATACCCCCGTGGCAGGCTATCGGTGGAGAAACATCGACAAGTACTAATTTGGAGCAAGGGGAAAGAAAATACCTCACTACAGTTTGACACTGCATGCAACAAGAAAAGGTAGTATCATCGCCACTGGAATATAAACCTGGGCAATATTGAGAAAATAATAGCAGTGAGCTTTTGTTCTTGTATAAACAATGAAATTGCAAATGTAAAATGGGTTATAAAATAAAATGCAAACTATATCATATAAATATAATTTAGCCCCTTCTTTTTGGAAAGGGCATAGCAAGTTATTTTCATGTTCATCCCTAAAATATTGTTAGCAAAAAAGAATCATACTATGCTCAAGTTATTACCTTGCGGCTGCAATCTCAAGCCAAACAGTTAAGCATGAGAGAGGAGTTACATCTGGAAACCATGAAGCAATCATGGCAAGCAAAGACCACTGCATTTATTTTGCTTTAATCAGGAGTGCCTCCCGCTTTTTTTTTTTGCTTTTCACAGAGTTCAAGAATGCGTAAAAGTTCCATGGAATTATTGCCATGAACAAAGAGTAAAAGATGAATCAACGCTTCTTGGAGTATATTACCGATGCTTTTCTTCAAGTGACATCATATTTTTCATAGTAGTCGAAGATGTGAGTCCTCAATCTTGAATCCGTGATCTCTTTGATTGCCTGAATAAAGAACACAACAATGACAGGAATAAATTAGTTCATGGTATTCGCAATAAGTTATCATCAGAAACCCTAAAATACAAAGCTTAAAAAATTACCACTTCATAACAACTTCAATAGGAGATCCAGCTATGTGAGCTTCTATTAAAAAACTAACCTGCCAAAAGGCACAATTACAATTAGTGTGTGGACTTATCTAAATAACAAAAAAACCTAAATAACATACCATATGAAATTATGAACGAATAGACAAACTAAACTGTTATGGATTATATATCACTATATCAGTAGCTGTAATTAGTAACACACTGATAGAAATTATTAACATCACATATCTACGAGACAAAATTACCAGCAATTTTGATATTGCTAAACTAAGCGGAAGGTGCATAGCAACATTACCTACTTGCCTCTGCCAGTAGATTTACCAAGCTCTCCAATTGCTTCTGCTCGATTCGCAAGTCTAGGTACCAATGCAGACACAAAAACAAGTTAGTTTCTCCCTAACCCTCCATCTCTACAGAGGAAACCAACAAACCGAGACCAACTGTAGGGGCGGATCCGATAACTTTTACAGCAAAACCGAATTTTGCAGGCAAAATACATGTACACGCTTGTAATTAGATCAGATCCGAGTACACGAAATAGCTTAAGGTAGGATTTGGGTCCTCGGCATCGCACAACTGGGAGAACAGATAAGGGATGGGCATACCTATTGGTTGGTCATCGCTGGCGAAGGGTCCGGCGAAGACATGGCGAAGGGCCCGACAAAAACCTAGGCAACTGTCATTCGATGCCGAGGACGGAGGGGGTAACCGGAGCGGGCGGCACGCCGGCTTCGAGACGGTAGCGAGCATCGAGCGCACGGAGCCACTGGTGGCCCGGACGGGATGGCCTGTCGTCGCCGTGCATTCTAGGTCCCAGCCCCACCCCCGCCTCCATCTCCATCGTGATGCAGTGGCCTCAGACCCAGCCCGCATCGCGGGGGCCAGCCACGAAGCTGCCCAGGGGGAGAGGCGCTGATGTGGCTGCACTACGAGGGGCTCGAGAAAGTGGAGAGCGCAGCGGAGGCATCGACGACGCGCACGAGGGAGGATGAGTCGCGGGCCTCAAGCGTCGCGAGGCCCTCAAAGGTTGAAGCGTCGGCGACGTCTAGGGCTTCCTTGAACTCAGCGACCGCCGCTGCCAGGACTCTAGTCCCCGGATTCTCTCCCTCCCCAAATCTTGCTTATTTTGGAAGAGAGAAGAAAATGGGGCGCGGGTTGGGAATCGAACCTGGCTCGGCGCTGCACGGTGCGGAGGCGGAAGCCTGGCATCACACGTCGTGGCCATCCGATTTGGTTTGATGCGCGTGGGAGGTCCGCGGGAGAGCGATGGAGGATAGACACACTAAACATGAGCCGTCGGATTTAGATGAGTAATGAGAGAGAATGGCTAAGAGATAATCTGGTGCATCCGTTTTGATGGTGTTATATTTTCTGGGTGTATTCATGATGTGGATGCAGCATAGGTCATGACTGATGAGCAGACATTTATTTTGTGGCTGTAGATTTATTCTAACTGATGTATTATAGAATAATAGGGTAGATAGATTAGTCTATATTTAATACTGCGTAACTAATGTAAAACATCTGATGTGACAGCCGACCACCCAAGTAAAAAAAAAAAAAAAAAACGTGACCTTCACGCCTGGTTCTCCACACGCCCTCTTCTCCTCGGATCCTCCACCGTAATCTCCCGGCGACGCCGCCGCCATGTCTTCCCAGTATTCTGGAGGAGGTCCGGCGATCCATCATCCCCGCCCCAATTACTACCCGTACACCTTTCAGCATGACCCTCCTCTCCACTCCAGTTCCCGCCGTCGCCGCCGCGACGATGACGACCCCTATCAACCCTATCTGCCTCTGCCCCACGCGCACTCCTACGGAGCCACCGCCGTCGTCACCGGCACCGTTCCCTGCCATGTCCCCCGAAATCCACTCGTGCTCTCACACCTCCAAGAGTGCCTCTTTCCGCCTCTCCCTCAACCTCACCCGGCCGCGGGTCCACCACCGACGAAGCGGGCCCGCCGCGCGCCAGATACTCGGTGGGATCCGCCGCCGCCAACGCTGCAGCCGGCACTTGTCCCGGTGGCGCCAGAGAGGCCTCGGGATGTAGGAGCTTCCGCCGGGGCGTTGCTTTCGCGGGACGAGATCGAGAGGCGGTCTCCATCAAGGAGGGACGGGATCGATTCCGCGCTTGAGGCCAGGCTGCGTGCGTCCTACTGCGCATACCTGCGCTGCCTCGGCATCCGGCTCGGGCTGTAAGTTCTCTCTATCTTTTAATTGGTTTTGGTGATTTTCGGGCTGTAAGTTCTGTGTACCGTTTAATCGGTTTTGGTGATTTGTTTATTGAACTGTTTTCTTGCCAATCTTGTTGCTTATGTTTGGTGCAGGCCGCAGACAACAATTGCGACGGCTGTGGTGTTCTGCCATCGGTTCTTCTTCCACAGATCTCACGCCTACCATGATAGATTTGTTAGTTGTCTAGTCTTCTACAAGAATTTGCTAGCTGTGCAACTTAATAATTCTGTTAGGTGGCCATCAGATCAATTTATTTCAACTCAGATGAATAAGTTGAAACTGTATCTAGATACCATCAAAAGCACATTCATTCATTTATTTAAATTTGCACTTAGTGGCTTGAAGGTGTAGATTGGAAGACCCCAAAATTTGTTCTTTTTTGATATATATATATATATATATATATATATATACAAGCTGCAACACTGTTTATCCTGAAATGTCTAGCACACCCCACCACATGATGACATAATCTGAGTATACTCAACTTCATATAGCCTTGTTGGATATATTTTCTTGCTCATGGTGCTAACCCAGCACTGTTTCATGTTCATGTGGATCTTGTAACTTGGCACATGAAGGCTTTTGTAGCGTATGCCTTTCTGGCTAATGTCCCATACATTATTTACTGTTCTCTTAGAGATACTGTTGTCGAATGAGCATTTGATTTGATTTGACTTGCTCTTCATTATAACCATAATATAAAGTATATGTGCAATGTTGATTTCTGCTGTTATACGCTTATCTGCTTAATATGTTGAGTCTGATTTTGTTGTTTTCATGATGACCAAAGTTTCTTTAAACTTCGCAGTTGGTTGCGACCGCAGCCTTGTTCCTGGCAGCAAAGTCAGAAGAAACAGCATGCCTTTTGAATACTGTTCTTAGGGCTTCATGTGAGATTTCTCAAAATCAAGAATTCAATCTGCTTCCTTACATGCTACGTGGTGTAAGTATACTTTATTGATGTACTTCAGTGTTGTGTTTAGTGTGTTCTTTTGTTCTAAACTAAACAGTCAAGAGCTATATAAGGAACTGCCATTTGCTAATAGTTTGCATCTTTCTCTTTCTTCAGCAGGACTGGTTTGAACAGTACAGAGAGCGTGTAATACAGACAGAGCAAATGATACTTACAACACTTGATTTTGAACTTGAAGTAGCCCACCCATATGCTGCCCTATCCTCTGCTTTGGGCAAACTGGGACTCTCCCATACTGTTCTATTTAATGTGGCTTGGAATCTGATCAATGAAGGGTAAGTATTTCTATTTCTTAATAATGCATTGGTTGATCATTACTTACTAACGTATTTCCTTTTCATATAGTTATTATAGAAAACAGCCAAGTTATCTTGTAAAACTTTCACTCTAGTTGACACCATGAGAATTTTGATACACATGAGCTTTGTCATATTGCAATCTCCGCTGTTTGGATAGCTTCTCTAAATACTGTACCTGGGCACTATACTTGGGTCTTTATATAACAATCTTTCAAATTTTTAGATGGCACTGCACCATATGTGGTTCTTAGTGTTTTGTGGCCATCAATGCTGTTCCAGTCTGGCACAAAGACAAAAGAAAGGAACGTTCAGACAAAAAATTTGTGGACCTGTAGTTAGTTGGACTGGAAAGAAGTTATAATACACGGTTCATAGTATCACATTTTACCCACTAACCACATCTGAAGGACTGCATATTGGTTGTTCTTTCTGCACTCTGCACTTCCAGACTAGATTGTGGCCCGTGCAATGCTGGGTGACATTGGATGAAGTAAATGCTTATAGATTTTAAGGGTTGTTTGACTATAATGTGAGATCAAATTATTTTCAAGAATATAATATCCGTGTTGTTCACTCCACTTGTCACAGAATAAGTGCCTATGAATATCTTCAACTCTGTCAACCAACACAGAGTAACTAGTTACTTGTGGTTTGCTCAATTGCTGTCGGTGCCAGCTTGCAGTGTTTTCTTGTTGGTGTTGGCGTGCACGAAAATATGTATGGAACTTCTTGCAAAATTCACTGAAGTTGTGTAACAGGTTTTCCGGATTTGGTCTTTGTGTATTCTTCATCTACACTTTTTAATTCATACAATAGTTTTGTCTATCCTGATGTACCTGTACCTTTCATGATTAATAAAAAGTATGTTTTCCACTGTATGGAGATTTATCCAACTGCAGTGAGAATATTAAATTATTAATTCCTGAGTTCTCTTTCTTACTATGCTCTGCTCCCTCCGTCCCTAAATAACTGTTGTTTTTGGTTTTCGTGCCGTAAGTTTAGAAAATGCGTGCAACATTTGTATCTCCAAATAAATTTATTATTAAAATAGATTCAACGATCTATCGAATATTAATTTTGTAGCGTAAATATTAATATTTTTTATATATTTTTAGTCAAAGTTGTTTCTCGGTAAGCGAAAACGACAGTTATTTAGGGATGGAGGGAGTATGTTCCATTGTGATGTGAATCTCAGACTTTACAGAACAACGAATTCACCTACAAAAGACAACACTGCTCTCATTGAAATCTTTCATGGGGATGTTGCTCTTTTGATGGTGCGGGTATTGTAGTAAATGAAGTTGCAAATAAAATTGATTATTATTAGGGGAGATGCATATTAAGAAATTGCTGGAATTCATATCAAATCATAGAAGGTGTTCAGGAGCAAACTGAAAAAGCTAGAAAGGTATACATTTGGGAGAAGTGACAATGTATTTGGATGCAAATTTGCTAAGCTTGCATGTCATATGCACTTCTAATTTTGTGCAACATTCATCTTCTGGGGTAACTAACTTCTTCATCTGATATGTAATTGCATTTTTTGACGTGATTACAAAGTTTGCGAACATGGCAAAATATTGATGGGGCTGTACTCTTTTGATCAGTAATAAGATTTTTAAATAATGTCAATTGACAGATGCACTGCTAGATATTAGAAAAACACTGCTGGGCTTATCATGTGTCAGCTTCAAGTTTTTTTTTTCTCGAAAACGCAGGAGAGCTGCGCTTCATTATATTAAGAAGAAAGAAAGGGGCTAGAGCCCTACAACACACGCCACACACAACCCCACACAATTAAGAGATTACATTCGCGCCCGAAAATAGAAATGGAAGCGACCAAAAAGACTAGAACTAAGCTAACCACCGAGAGGAGCTGTCAAAGAGGACAGACCCTTAGTTCCTGCTAGACTCCACAGCCGGCGCTCTTCTCCAGCAAGGGTAAGTGCACCACCAAGGCTGGGGACAATACCATAAAAAACGCAACGGTTCCGATGGTTCCAAAGAGTCCATGCCCCAAGCACAATGAGAGAGTTGAGACCTTTTTGCATCAATCCGCTCGTTGCTCCAATAGCTTGTTCCCACCAGCTGTCAAAAGAAGTGTCTGAAGGTTGTGGTGACAAGGAATGGAGACCAACCTGCCTTAAAAAGTGATACCAGAATTGCCTAGCAAAGACACAGGAGACTAGAAGGTGGTTGATAGTCTCATCTTCCTGGTCACAGAGAGGGCACTGCTCAGGATGAGGCAGCCCACGTCGCGCGAGGCGATCCGCTGTCCAGCTCCGATTGTGGGCCACCAACCAAAGGAAAAAGCGGCATTTGGGCGGTGCCCAGGTTCTCCAAATCCTCTCATACAATCCAAACTGAGTAGATCCCATGAAGAAACCCTCATAAGCAGACTTGGCTGAGTATTGCCCACTATTTGATAGCCGCCAAATATGGACATCTTCGACATCAGGCTCTAGTTCAAAGTTGTACAGCATTTCCTAGAGATGAAGTCCACAATAACACCAACCGTGAGGGCTCCCTTGATATCCAAAACCCAGCTGCGATCAGTAAGGGCTTCCTGGACAGTACGTCGTTTCAGCCTTCTCTTTGGGATGGCTTCTAGTAGTCGAGGTGCAAGATCAGCGATACACTGTCCATGGATCCAACGATCAGTCCAGAATAACGTGCGATTCCCATTGCCTACTTCCGATACAACAGCCACCGAGAAGAAGGCATTAACTTGGTCCGGGATCTGAATAGGAAGGGCTGCCCAAGGGCGGTGAGGTTCAGTTTTTTTCAGCCAAACCCACCTCATCCTTAGTGCCCAGCCGAGATGTTTGAGATCAGAAATTCCAAGTCCACCATGCTCAGGGGGGCGGGTGACGTTTCCCCAAGCCACAAGACAATGTCCCCCACGGGCATCTTTGCGGCCCCTCCAAAGAAAACTTCTCCGAAGCTTGTCCACGGCTTTAATAGCCCATGGTGGGAAATCAATCGCCATTGCCAGATAAATAAGCATTACAGTGAGAACAAACTGCACCTGAATTCTTCGTCCTGCCCGTGTCATGAGATCTGCTTTCCATCCCGGTAGCTGATCAGCAATTCTATCTATAATAGGTTGGACTTGTTCTTTAGTTAACTTCTTGAGGGAGAGAGGCAGCCCCAAATACTTGCAAGGAAAATTCATGACAGCACAAGGGAGAAGTTCCTGTACCAATGCCAATTCTGTATCCCCACACCTGATTGGTAACACATTGCTTTTCTACAAATTGGTTTTGAGGCCTGAAGCTTCACCAAAAAGTTGGAGGATGCTCATTATGACATTTATATCCATTGCCTCCGGGCGGAGAAAAAGAACCACGTCGTCCGCATAGAGGGAAATGCGATGTTGGAGAGCTTGAGATGAAAGTGGCTGCAACATACCATCAGCGGCTGCCTTGGCTACCATATGCCCCAACACATCCATAACTAGAATAAAAAGCATGGGCGATAACGGGTCACCTTGTCTTAATCCTCGCCGGTGAGTAATACTCTCCCCAGGTATCCCATTCAACAGCACTTGAGTAGAAGAGGAGGAGAGTAACCCACTGATTATGTCCCTCCAAATTTGGCCATAGCCTAAGTGCTGCAAGACCCCTAGCAAAAAGGGCCAAGAAACTGAAGCAAAAGCCTTCGAGATATCTAATTTTAAAAGGATTCTGGTTTGCTTTTGTTGATTGAGAAATCTTGCTGTTTGCTGAACTAGCATGAAGTTGTCCTGAATGAAGCGTCCCTTTATAAATGCACTTTGATTAGGAGACACCATCTGCTGCAGCCGGCATGCAAGTCGATTCGCCAACAATTTAGTGATCAACTTAGCAAAACTATGAACCAGGCTGATAGGCCGAAAATCTCTTGGCTGCTCTGCTTCCTCTTTCTTAGGTAGAAGGGTGATGTAGGCTGCATTAAGCACTTCAAAACCTGCAAATCTCCTACTCCACACAGCAGAAACTGCAGCCATGATATCACTCTTTATGATCGGCCAGCAGACCTTGTAAAACTGACCAGTAAACCCATCTGGCCCGGGCGCTTTATCTGGAAGCAGCTGCTTGATTGTGTTCCACACCTCTTCCTCTGTAAAAGGGAGCTCAAGGTCGGCCAGATCGTGGGGGAGGATTCCCAGCTCATCGAGGTTCATGGTGCGCTCTCTGTCCAGGGTGGTTCCAAGTAAATTCTCATAGAAATCATCAACCAATCTTGCTTTGTCTTCATGTTTGGTGTAGATTTGGTCTCCTGAAACAAGCTTGCCAATGAAATTCTTCCTCTTGCGGTGACGGGCATGGAGTTGGAAAAGTTTTGTGTTGGCGTCCCCATCACGTACCCAGTCAATTCTTGAGCGAAGACGAGTAATAGTCCGCTTGAGGGATGCAAGAGCAAGGCTGTGCTTCTTAAGACTGTTTTTCAGCCAGTTTTCCCTTGGTGAGAGGGTGTGACTGTCTTGTGCGATCTCCAATTGGATTTCACTGGCAAGGGCTAGCTGAGAGTTAACATGACCAACAGTTGTATCACTCCAAAACTCTGTAAAGCTTTAGTAGCAGCTTTGAACTTGAAGTCCAAGGTGAGAAAAGGACAAGGACCAGCCTGCACTGAAGCCCAAGCATCTGCTATGGTGTCCTGATACCCCTCAAACTTAGGCCAAAAAGATTCGAAATGGAAGTGTCTACGGCCCAATTTATTATCCTGAAGTCCAAGCAAAAGAGGGCAATGGTCTGAGTCTTCCGAAGCCATGCTTTGCAGTAAACAATTTGGGAAAAGGTCCTCCCAGTCCACTGAACAAAACACCCTGTCCAACTTAACCAAAGTAGGATTCGTTTGCTGATTTGACCATGTATTTCCGACCATGCAGGGGAATTTCCTTGATAGCTAGGGTCATTAATTAGATGAGAATTTCCTTGATAGCTAGGGTCATTAATTAGATGACGTCTGAAACGACCCATCATTGCCCGATTGTAGTTATCGTTATTTTTGTCTTCCTCTTTGTAAATCAGGTTGAAATCTCCTGCTAGAACCCATGGTCCAGGACAACCCCCTCGGATATCTCTTAGCTCCTGAAGAAACTGAATCTTTCATCCATGCCCTGAGGACCATACACACAGGTTAACCACCAGGAAACTCCATTAGTCGGGCAGAACTGAATGGTCACGCTGTTGGCATTCACGTGGCAAGCTCCTGCATTACCAAGATGATGACGCCAAGCAACGAGAATTCCACCACTAGCACCTACAGAAGGGAGCTCAGCAAACTCTGAGAAATCTGTCCCTAGAGCATAGGAGCACTCGCCTGGAGGACATAGAGATTTTCGTTTCCTGGATGTACACAATATCTGACCGGGAGGCTTCCACAAGAGTACGAAGAGAATTTTGCCTTGCTGTAGAATTGAGGCCTCTTACATTCCAAATTAAAATTTTGGCTGGATCCATTACAAGATTGCAAAGAGCGACCAAAACACAGACTGGAGCAGCTCATGCTACCACTACATCCTCACAAAACTCAGGGATGGACCAATTGAACAAGGCGGCCAAACCAAGCAGTTGGATATCAGAAAGTGGGTTCTTAAACAGCTTACTGTATTCATCTTCAGCCTGCTGATTGACACCATTCTGCTCAATAATGATTTCCAGCGAGTGCGTGACCTTCTTCTTCGATCGTCTTGCCCAGTCCGCCGGCTGGAGCTCAGGCACAGCACCCGCAAGGTGTTGACTGCGCCGTGGGGTCTCACCCGGTGGCAGAGTTTTTTTTGCGACGTTTGCTGATGGCGGGGACAGGCAGCAGACCTGCTGTCCGACCGGAGAGCTTGCTGATGAAGGCGTCGTGGTTCGAAGGCGTCACAGCTGGGGACGGAGCCGGAGCTGCCACGTCCCCCGCCGGGACGCATGGAGATTTGGGGATGGCCTCAGGTTCCAGCTTTGTTGTCAGCAGTGTTGTGGTGGCCTCTGGATGAGCAGCCCCGCGTCGGCGAGAGCGGCGACGAGAGTAGACTTGTAACGGCTTCGCAGAGCGTTTGCCCAACCCCGGCGACCTTGGGGGATTTCCTTCAAATCAGTCTAGGAATCCTTCATCTGCCCAAGGAAGGCCAACCCATCGTCAACCTCAAACCTCATGAGCGTGGGCGAGATAACCGAAGGGCCAGCCTCGTCAGGCGCAACAGCAACAGCAATGACTGGGCTCCCCTCATTAAGATCCATCGAGCCGTTAGCAGGAACAGCCGCCACCGAATCGAGCACGGGTGTCTCCTCGGAAATCAACTCTCAGGCGGGGGCGGGGGCAAGTTCAATCGATGGTCGTCTGCCGCCAGCGTCTGACCTCACAGGCATCGGCGCTGTTCCAGCCAGCAATCGTCGTAGAGGATACCGCCACGTGTATTGCACACGAAGCAGGCGGGCCCACACGTTCATGAACCGACCGGCGCTGCGAACCCATCGAGCCGTCAGCCGCTCCGTTGGCTGCCGTCCCGAAGTTAGGCCGCATCGAGGGAGAGCGAAGCCGGTGCCGCTGCCTAGCAGATGCATCCTCATCACTGCCGTCCCCAGGAGGAGGGGAAAGAGGAGGGCTAGGAGTAGTCCCATGGGGTCTGAGAATTGTCGTAGAGCGGACGTTGATCGGGTACGCCAACAACCGCGTCACCGGAGGGTCTTCCACGACGGCGACAGGTGGCTCAGCGGCCCAAAGATCCTTAGCTGTTGGAATTGCAGAGGGATCCAAGCACCAGGCCAAACATCGGAAGGGATATAGATCCACCAAATTCACAGCAGGATGAACTTGTTGAATCCAAGCGTGAGGGCTCAAGAACTGTTCCACTGTAGACGTTTCCCAGACATGAGCGGGGATACCAAAGAGCTCCAGGTCGACCAAACATGGAAGCACCCTTCCTGCTGCGCCGGCTTGACGTGTCCACCGTTGGCAAAGCAGACTGAGCCCCTGTGAGCGAAGCGGTTGCCGCAAGCCCCAACAGACTCTCAACCAAGGCAGTGTTAGGGAAGACCATCAAGTAACTTGAAGCGGAGGCACGACGGAGGACCAAAGAGGCAGCTTCGAGTTCAAGCCTAGACGCAATCACAGCTGCCACTTCATCTACTCTGGCCAAGGGACTGGACCCGATTACTGTGACGATCACTGCATGAGCCAAGTCTTCCTCTGCCTTGGCAATGCAGTCACTCCAATCAATGATGCATGGGAGGGGTCTCGCAGCTTCCAGGGCAGCATCTGGAGTGGCAGTAGAGACAACCTCCGGTGAACGTTCAGCCGCCGGAGGGGAGCCATCAAGGCCCTGATTTGGTCGTTGACGACAGCGCGGCCTTCTTCGATGGCACCTCGTGCCCTGGCTAGATTCAGGACGCCGCCCATCATGATCACCGCTCGCCACTTCCGTCAATTCAGGGCGCTGTCCCTCATGAACACTGCTCACCACACCCCCCGGAAGAGGCCGTTGCGGGGGAGCAGCTTCTGCAGGGGTAAGCCGCCGCCAAATCGGAAGCCGAGGCTATGGACGCTGCGCCGCACCATCACCGCTCACCAAAACCGCCGGAGGAGACCGTCGCAGGGGAGCAACTTCAGCGGGATGCATAGGCCTCGGGCTATTCCGCCTCCAGACTGATAGACGACGCCGAGGGCGCTGCACCGCATCGCCGCCCGCCGAACCTGCCGGGGGAGGCCGTTGCTGGCCAGCAGGACGACGAGGCCCTGATCGAACCCCGCCACCACCACCAGCCACGCTCGGGCACTTGTAGGTGCGATGGCCTAAAGCGTGGCAGAGGAAGCAGCGGGTCTTCTGACGGCACAGGGCAGCCGTGTGCGAGGCGGAGAAGCAATTGAAGCATTTGCCAGTAAGGTCGACGGGAACCGGACGTCGTGGATTAGCCGCCTTGCGCCGCCGCTGCCTGGTGCTCCGCGATTCAAACCTCTGCCAGCCATTCAAATCTGTGCGACAGGCAACGCGCGGTCCACCGGAACCGCGTCGCCCAGGAGCCCGATGGAGGAGGACGATCTTGGTACTGTTGCAGGCCACCGCCACCGCCGTTGTGTTCCTAGCCATCTCAACGGGCACAACACCAGCAACCGAGGTAGCCGAACCAGCCGCCCCCGACGCTTCGGGAGAAACCGACCTCAGGACGATGTCGCGGAAGGAAGGCGGGCTTCTATCGCTCCAGCGCTCCTGCTTTGAGCGGCCACGAGCAGAGTGAAGAGGCAAGGAGGAGGGGGAGGGGGAAACCGCCGCCTTTGAGGGGGAGGAGGAGGAGGTGTCCGCCGGGATCGGGATGATCTCCGGTGCGGGGCTGGTGGAAGGCGAGACGTCGGGAGGGGAAGGGGCGGGAGCCATACTTTTAGAAGGGTACTTTTTTATATTCTACAGCCATTGTCGTTGTATTTCACTGCTACTTTACTAAATGTCCACTGTAATTTAATTTACTACATTTTGGGGCAATGAGCGTTTGAATGCAGACCATTATTTTTCATTTATGAAAATCAATATAAAACAAATAATAGATAAGTACATTTGATGATAATTAGTCTATCAATGCCATTCTCAAATATCAAGTGACAGATTTGAATACTTTCATGTATAATGATAATGAAGTAGTGGTAGGAATTTTAAAGTTTGACTATATATGCATTATGGGTCTGTTTGGTTGCCTGCATATTTGCATAACCCATTATCCAGGCCCCCGCAGTGCAATTCGTCCCTGTTGGATACCTTCATAGGTCCATATGCAGGCTAGCACTGTCCTCAAAGCAAGCTCAACCCGCATGCCACTATTCAGCCAAATCCTGCATATCCAGCTATGCACCCTTCCTCTTGCACCCGCACTGCAGCCCAAGACACAGTCCGGCCATGCAGGAAACCAATCACACGCATAGCATTGTACAACTTCCTATCTCGGCAAACCAAACAACATCAAATTGCATTGCATTGTCCAGGTTAAGAGTATGATGCATAACCTCTAATGCAATGTAATACTAATGCGAGTTACCAATCAGACCCTATGAGATCCATTTTGGACGGACATGGTATAAAATATTCATGATTCACATATTGTGTTGTTGGGTATCTGTCATTTTAGTTATTGGATTTTTGTAGCATACCACATTATTATTCTTTTTGGTGTTTCTATCTACAGCTGTCACTTCGCAGAAATTCTCTTAGGGCTAGGTGGACATTGTTGTCCTTAAATTTTCTGGTTAATTTGATTCATTGTATTGAAGGGCGGGCCTGGTGCAAGCGGTAGAGTCTTACCGTCTATGACCGGAAGGTCCTGGGTTCGAGTCGCGGTCTTCTCGCATTGCACAGGCGAGGGTAAGGCTTGCCACTGACACCCTTCCCCAGACCCCGCACAGAGCGGGAGCTCTCTGCACTGGGTACGCCCTTTTTTTTTTATTCGTTGTATTATTACCTCTATCACAACCATTTCCTTTCATGCTGTCTGAGATGCAAACTCTGAAACTAATTTTACTTTATGGTATGGTGTCTCTGAGTAAGTGATCAATTACAAGAAATTCGATGGCATGATTCCCATAATTAACAGGAATATTTCATTGGCTGGAGCACTTAAATATATTTATGGGCATTTAGCACCAGAATTCCTAGTTCCATTGATTCTTTGATTCATGTTGGCCAACTTAGGTTTAGTTCCAATAGGTTGCCTAGAAATTTAGGTCCTTCTGATGTGGCGTGAATTGCTTATGTGTTATGCCACTTGTTTGTAAAATACCATGCTCAACTGTGACAATATTAGCAAAGGATTGGTTTGGTGTTCTTGAAAGAACATCTTTAGACCCAAGAATCAATATATGGTAACCATAATTTGCAACAACTGTAAGGAAGAAAGTTAAGACACATGATATGCATGTGAACATCTATCTTACAATAATATTTTGAAAAGGGCTAGTCTGGCGGATGGGCTCTGCATTGCTCCAGGTGTCTGTAGGCGTCAGCTAGGTTTTGTACTTTTTTGTGGATGGTTAGAGTAATGCCATGCAAAATAAGGGAAATTGAGAAAATCTGAAAAAAGTGATATTACCATGCATTCATGAGTAATTTGTTTGTAGTTCATCTTTCTCCATCTCTGACTCCCATTTTCACACATATCAAGCTCAAAATATCTCTACCTGGGAAATAGCCAGGACAATGCCTAGGTGCTAGCAACACCTAGCGCCTATTGCCACCTTTTTAAACAGAGAGATTACATATGGCCCACAGGTGAGGCTACAATGCTGGTGTAGTGTATCAGTCTGAAACTTCACCACTGTGCAAGCCAACTTGCAGTGAGAGAGCATAGGCCTGACTCTCTACTGCTTTTGTTATGAGTTAGTACAGATAGTGTTAGTTGATGTAGTGCTAGTTGATGAAAGCCGGACATAAGTGAATCAGAAACTGGAGTTATGGCGGGAGACTTTGGAGTCCAAAGGTTTTAGACTCAGTAGAACTAAAACTGAGTATATGAGATGTGACTTCGGCACTACTACTCGGGAGGAGGAAGATATTAGTTTGGAAGGTTAAGTAGTGCCTAGGAAGGATACCTTTTGATATTTAGGATCAATGCTACAGAGAGACGGGGATATTGATGAAGATGTTAGCCATAAAATCAAAGTAGGGTGGATGAAGTGGCGCTAAGCATCTGGTGTCCTATGTGACAAAAGTGTACCACAAAAGTTAAAAGGCAAGTTTCATAGGACGACGATTTGACCTGCTATGTTGTATGGTGAAGAATGTTGACCTACGAAAAGACGACATGTTCAACAGATAAGTGTCGCGGAAATGCGTTGGTTGCATTGGATTTGCGGTCATACAAGAAGGGATGGAGTTCGGAACGATGATATATGTGATAGATTAGTGGTAGCACCAATTGAAGAAAAGCTTGTCCAACACCGGTTAAGATGGTTTGGACATGTCCAATGGAGACCTCCAGAGGCACCGGTGCGTAGTGGAATCCTAAGCCAGGATAGTAACGTGAAGAGAGGTAGAGGAAGACCGAAGTTGACTTGGGTAGAGGCAATAAAAGGAGACTTGAAAGAATGGAATATACCCAAAGACTTAGTCTTAGATAGGAGTGCTTGGAAAACAACTATTCACGTGCCTGAACCTTAATTGCTTCTGTTGGGTTTCAACTCTATCCTATCCCAACTTGTTTGGGACTTAAAGGCTTTGTTGTTGTTGTTGTTGTTGTTGTTAGTACGGATAGTGTTGGCCCTCATGGGTTAGTAATTTCTTGTCTACCAGTTCTTGTAACAGAACTATTTGAGATTTTTAAATCTCAGCATGCATATTTATAAAGAATTTTTCACATTTACAATTGATCAGCTCCTCTTTATTATATCCTTTGCATTGAATACATTTTCTGATTCATGCAGATCTCCCTGTGATTTTGTGTATTCTTTGTGAGGCCATAAAATTTGCATGTAGTGGTTCCATCATAAATGGGCCACATTTTTCCATGTACCAAAGACTACCTTCTTGAAATGGCAATGACATTTTGATATGATGTGCTCATGGGTGCTTAACAAGGATAATCTTTTGTAAAGATGATCATATCCTACTTGATTAATGACATTTTGATATGATGTGCTCATGGGTGCTTAACAAGGATAATCTTTTATAAAGATGATCATATCCTACTTGATTATAGACAATACCAACTCGGGAACCAATTAGCAAACAAAAACACAGCTTAGGCTCTGGTGGTCTTTTGGCCAAGTTTCCTTTAGCCTTCTAGGGGGTGTGAGTGGGTGTCGGGTTGGGCTTCTCTAGTTCGGCCCATTGTACTCTTTTCTCTATCTTAATGAAATGACATGCAACTCTCTCCTGTTTGAAAACAAAATATGCCAGAGTTGGCTTTGTTGTTTCTTTTGTGCCATGCAAATAAAACTGTCATTTTCAAATGACTTTTGCAATTCCAGGAGCGGCATATGCCGCTGGAGTTGTTATATGGTCAAAGAATTGATGATTTATGTGTGGCAAGGTGCATGCCTAATTGCTAGATTTTAGCAATAAGGCAATTTCTGCAGAAGGTTCTTCAATAATGTGATACCTGGCATCTTTTAGTGGTAAGGGGAATTGGATATTGTTTATTTTATCCTTTTTGTAAATTGTTAATATTTGTTGGATCCTTGACCCTTAAGGCCTTAACATCTCTTGCTGACATGCTTGTCATGTTGCACGAAACAAATGACTTCACTTTTCATGTGAACGGTTCTCTAATTGATGTTTTATCCTGCTCTAGTTTGAGTGTTTATTTATTTAGGTATAATCCATCTAGTGTTCTTAGCTATTTCATTAATGCAGGCTACAAAGTTCACTTTGGCTTCAGTTCAAACCCCATCATATTGCCGCTGGGGCTGCATTCCTTGCTGCAAGGTTCCTCCACTATGACATCACATTCCATCCAAATTTCTGGCATGAATTCAAGACAAGTCCATACTTTGTTCAAGGTAACCGAGTGTTCTTTAGTAGCAAGGTGAGTTTTGTTTTTATCCAACAATAGGTTTGACAGCACTATCTGTTGCACTTGCAGATGTTGTCCAGCAGTTGAAGGAGCTACTTTAGGATACAAGATTCAATATATTTGCATAATACCCAGAGATCCTCTTAGTTTATATGTTGTGAGTAGTAACCACTGCCAAAAGTACGTACACATTGGGATGTGGTCACTTTCATCAATTACTGAACATCTTTCATTTGGTTTTTACAACCACAGAATGCTTCTATGTACAAAAGGGGAAGATCTTATTCAAAAGTTGCCCTTGAAGTTTTTGGGAAGTAAAAGCAAACAATCTTTATTAGTAGAAAAATTGTGTGATGCCTGAAAATGTTTATTGAATTCCTTTTAGTCTGCATGTTTCTGTGTACATTCCAGCCAGCTTATATATGCATGTTTTGTGCTTGTACTTTCTTTCAGTCTTCTGCAATGTTTTTTCCCATAGTAATGCTGGCGGTTCACCTTATAAAACAAAACAAAGTCAGTTCTGCAACTTCTGTTCTATTGCTCATTTTAATAGAGTGGTACTGACTGCCTGTGATGATCGGCTGTATGAGACAATACATGTCTGCATTTACAATAAGGTATTATGTGTCAAGTCATAACAAATAAGATCCAAGTATGGATGGAAGTATAGTGATTAGTAAAAGCATATTTGTATGCAGAGGGATGCTGCAGCTTTTTAATAAGCAGAATCGAAGCTTGAATTGAATAAGCAGCAGAGTATAAGTATACTATGCTTATCACCTGGTTTACCAAAAGGTGAATTTGGCACAATCACAAGGTGTGCCAAACAGTACTAAGTCCTTTAAGGATGGTTGCTGAGTTTTTTTTTAATCTTTTACTT